TGTTAAAGATTTTTTTAAAAAGAAGTTAGGATTTTTTACTATTATATGGGCATTTTAATTACAACTATCTGAAGGACTAAAGTGACCACAGGACTTTCCATTATATGAAAATGACTAGAAAAGACAGGAAATTACCCGATTTTATCTCAGGCGCAGGGAAGAAGTAGCACAGCATCAGGTATCATTATAGTTCAGAACAAGGAGAGAGAGAGGATGGAACAGAAGCAACATTTGAAGAGATTAAGGCTGAGACTTTTACAAACCAACAGAAGATTCAGGATGTGCAACGAACCCCAAAATGCATCTTTGGTTCTGAGAACCAAAGACAAAAACAAAATCCTCTTCAAAGCAGGCAGAGATATAAATTCAACAAGCGACAAAACTAAACTATATTTTAAAGATGCATACATAGGTAGTGTATCTTTTTTTAAAAGCAAATAATTGTTATTTTAAATTTTAAGGTATCTGTTATCTCTAGAGAGGATGATGGGGATACGATCAGGGAGAATAACACAAATTTCTTTATGCCAGCAATGTTCAAGTTCTTCATCTGAATAATGGTTACCTGAGTGGTTGACTTATAATTATTCATTAAGCTGTACATACATGTAATGTATACTTTTCTGTATATACTTTATATTGCACAATAAAAGGGGAATGTATTAAGTAGCACCTTATATGTTCTATAAGTGGTGGTGTTAGGTTTTTCCTTAGAGATCTTTTAATGACAAAGTATTTTCTTGGGACATGTTTTTCATGTTGGTAGTATCATTAGCATCATCACAGTGTTGTTTTGACTTATAGAAGTATTTTTCTCAGAACTTAGAAATATCCACTTCTAATAGATAACACTCATGAAAAAATTTGAGCAAGGACAGGATTTTCAAAACTAAGAGAACAGTTGGTTAAAAAATGACTACCAAAAATAATTGCAGAACCAATAGAAACATATGCTATATTAAGGAATAATATTTTGTAGTGAGTGGGTGGGCAACTTTTATCTTTTTTGGCACTTAAATCTGTTAATTTCAGTGTCTGCCTAAGAGCTATTTATTTTTAAATAGCAAGACAGATTTTAATGTAGAATACATTTTTGTTGTTATTATTTGAGCCTACATAATTAGTCTCTTATTCTTTCTTTCTTAAGCCAGCAGAAAACTTTTTGTACGATAAACTTCCAGTGATCATAGCACAGTTAGTGCCTTTTTCTTCTATTTCTGAGTCTGCTCTGGCTCCAAACCAGCTCCAGTCCTGAGGTCTGCCCAGCTCTGAGTTCGTCCAAAGTCAGCTTCCGATGCTCAGTTTTGGTTGGGGCAAGCAGGCAGAAACTTGTACTATTTCAGGAGCCACTTTACATCAGGAGCCACTTTACAGAGTTAGGGTTGTCTTTACATCAAAACAAGGATCATTGGACCTGGAGAATTATCAGACTCGTGGATTCCTTTTGGGAACTGACTATACCTTGAAATGTTAAGAAATAAATAACCCATGATTTTCCTTTTAGCCATGTATGAAAATTCAACTACCATGTCCTGGAGCAAAGTATTATCACTTCTACAGTCTCACCCTTTCTCCGATGCTGAGTGCTGCTCTCACTTGGGAGAATATTCCCCAAGCATCCCCCTCCACTTTGTTCATTTTATTTTACTTTTTATTTTATTTTATTTTATTAATTTATTTTCATAGTTGAATATACAGATGTCCCTCCTTTTTCCCCCCCACTGACTTCCTCCTCCCCACTCCCACCCCCCTCCTGCCTTCCCCACACTGTTGTCTGTGTCCATTGGTTATGTCTATATGCATATAAGATTTTTGGTTTCTTTCTTCCCTCTCCCTTTCTCCCTTCCCTTGGAGGTTCATCAGTCTAACACCCAATTTGTACTTCTTGATCCCTTCACCTTTTTCACCCATCTTCCCAACACCCCTCCCGTCTGGCAACCAACAAAACGTTCTCTGTATATATGAGTCTGTTTCTGTTCTGCTTGTGCATTTTGTTTGTAGATTCAATTGTTGATAGATATATAGTTATTGCCATATTATTGTTTATATTTTTGATCTTCTTCTTCAAGAAGACCTTTCAACATTTCATGTAATACTGGTTTGGTGGTGATGAACACCTTTCACTTTTTCTTGTCTGGGAAGCTCTTTATGTATCCATCAATTCCAAATGATAGCTTTGCAGGGTAGAGTAATCTTGGTTGTAGGTCCTTACTTTTCATCACTTTGACTATTTCTTGCCACTCCCTTCTGGCCTGCAAAGTTTCCTCTGACTACTTTGGAGGATCAGCTGTGCAGGGCCCACCACACAGAGAAGACTTACTTCAGGATTCTGGTACCCACTGAGTCCACTCCTTGAGTGTGTCACTTGTGGAGGTGGTTGGGTGGTGGTGCTTCGATGTGGTCTGAAGCTGTCCACTGGGTGTGCTGGCTCTGGGGCAAGGTCAGCCACTGTCTGTGTTGTACCCGAGGCCACCAGGCATAAGCTACAAAGTGATCTGCCAATGGCTGCTTCTCATGCTGGGAGTGGAGGTGCCCAGGCAAAGCCAAGTTATGAACCAAGGCTGGTTGCTTCTAGCGCCAGGCCTGGGGCCACTTAGTGAGAGGGATGGGGCTCGCTGAGGCCAGATTCTGTTTGTTTGAGAGCATTTAGGAAAATCTGAAGCAGGAGCCAAGACAGGCCAAGCCTATGTTAAAACCACTGGACACAGCTTGGGTGGGCCAGAAATTTGCGTGGGGCAAGGCATTAGGCAATCATCAGGGTGGGGCAAACAGTGTGAATCAGGTTGCTGGAGTCCCAGATGTGGCGCCCATCTGCCAGGCCCATGGGGAAGGGCTCACCAAAGGAACAATGTCCTCCACCAGCACATCTGTCTGGGAGAAAGCTGCCTCTCCAGCCCTCGCCCTGAAGCCAAACAACTCAGTTCTTCCCCTTATGTCTCTGGAGCCTTTCAAGCTGCATCACCACCACCACCACCACCACCACCACCACCACACACACACACACACACACACACACACACACACACACACTGGAGCCTGGAGGGAGCAAGTCCAAGTAAGTCCATGCATGGGCCCTTTAAGAGGAGCTGCCTGGGGCTCCAGCAGCCTCAGCCTCAATTCCCACTGGTTTTTATAACCAGAAGTGATGGAGACTTCCCTTCCTGGCACTGGAACCCTGAGCTGAGGGGCCTGGTGTGGGACTGGGACCCCTCTCTCCTCAGGGAGGACCTTTACAACTGAGACCGCCCTCCTGATTTTTATTTGCCACACATGGTGTGGGACCAGCCCTTCCGCACCTCCTCCCCTCCTACCAGTCTTGATGTGGCTTCTTCTTCTTTTTTAAAAAATAGTTTTTCTTTATTGATTTGAGAGAGAGAGGGAGAGAGAGATAGAAACATCGATGCGAGATCGGCCGCCTCCTGCATGACCCCCACTGGGGAGTGAGCCCACAACCCGGGCATGTGCCCTGACCGGGCATCGACCGGGACCTCTCAGTCCCTGGGACACCGCCCAGTCCACTGAGCCACACCAGGGGTGCCCACTTGGTTAATTTTAATCTGCCTCCACTGTGTGTATAAGGGTCTATAAACTTCCTGAAACCTCCTCTTTGGTATTCTGAGGAAAGATGTTGTATAGACAAGAGTTGGGTTGAAAAACAGTAACACAGCAGAGTTACTGGGAGTGTGAGTTAGACGAGACACCACACGTATTGTTCCAGTGGGTTCCCAAGTGCGATGTCTCAGATCTACTTTAGTCGGGGACTGGTCACAAAGGCTGCCCTTAGGATAGACCATTTTTTATCCTATGATTACGGCCTTCTAAATTTATGTTAAAAGGGTTGTTTTCCTTTTATGAAAATGAGGCTGCTAAGAGACTGGTGTTTTGATGGTCTTTTAAAAAATATTCAGTTCTCTTAAGTATTGTTTAAAATATTCTTTGTCTGGCCCTGGCCAGTTTGGCTCAGCGGTTAGAGCGTCGGCCTGCGGTCCGGAGAGACCCGGGTTCGGTTCCCGCTAAGGGCACGTACTTCGGTTGCAGTTTGTCCCCGGCCCTGGTTGGTCGTGCGGGTGGCAGCCACTCGATGTGTCCCTTCACGTCGATGTTTCTTTCTCTCTCTCCCTTCCTCTCTCTCCCTCCCACTCTATCTGTACAAAAAATGGAAAAATATCCTCGGGTGAGGATAACAAAAAAAAAAATTCCTTGTCTGTGAAATCTAAAAGTCTGCACACCATACTTTCTAAAAGATCTCTTTTTAACCCCATGGTTTTTTGTTGAATCACAGACTATTACAACCATCCAATGTCAGCTGCCCCCCTCTTTCACCAGCACCGCTGTGTTTGACACCTGTCACCATCCCCTTCTTCCTGAAACGCCCCTCAGTGAACAGGCTTCAGTGGCAAAACAAACAAACCAACCCCAGAGGGGTTTCTCCTCTAACTGCTCCTCTATTGCTTTCCTGGTTGGTACTGCCGTGCCTCCAAGTGCACAGCCGTAAGTCTGAGTACTCCTGAAGACACACTCGCTCTCTCTCTCTCTCCCCCATTCAACTGTGGTATGAACACTTAGCATGAAATCTACCCTCTTCTAGTCCCGTTTTCAGTGTGCAATGTCTGTCTGTTCTTTATTTCTACTCTTTCTTGTGGGAGCTGCTGTTTGGAGACTTTAATTGCCACTTCTGTGCTAATGACTTTCCGCACTTTAGATCTGAGAGCTTCTGACAGTCCACCAGGGCTCCATCAGTCTAGAAACCATCTGGGCTGGCCCGCATCGGCTCAAGCGTTCCTCCCTGCACAATGAACTCATTCTGTTCTCCACCAAACGAGCTTACCCTTGCACATTTCCTCCTCCATCAAGTACTTCACTGGCAACCACAACCACATTGTTCTTTTATCCTTCCTTCCTTTTCGTCTTCTAAATCAATCGCCTTCAAGCTGTTTTGATCAATTTTTCAAAAATTCAACAGAAACTTTGGAGTAAAAAAGTACCTAGATTTTTTTCCCCCATGTGTCCTGGGGATGAACCAGCATGGGCACAGACCAAAAGCCAGGCTGGGATAAACAAGGAGTTACTTTGTCCTTGGCTGATAGGAGACAAGCACCACCAAACCAAGTGCCAGTCTACCCAGTCAGGGACAAAAAGACCTAAATTTGTTTGCAGTTTCTGGCACTTAATATCTAGGGGAACTTTGGACTTAATGATTTAATAGATCAAATGTTTGTGTGTCCCCCCCCCACACACACACACACACACACATTCATATGTTGAAGCTGTAATCCTCAATATGATGGTATTTGGAGATGGGGCCTTTGGAAGGTAATTAAGGTTAGATGAGGTCATGATAGGATTAGTGTCCTTCTAAGCAGAGACTTGAGAGCTCTGGTTCTGTGAGCACACAGTGAAATGGAGGCCTCAGAATGAAACCTACTCTGTCAGCTCCTGGGCCATGGATTTCCCAGCCTGCAGAACTGTGAGAGAGAATTTCCTGTTTAAGTCACCCAGCCTATGCTATTTTGTATGGTAGCCCAAGCAGACTAAAACACATACCTACTCTGCGCCTTTGTAAACTGTAATCAGTAACGTCTACCCTGCTGGAAAATACCAGTTCTTTTTTTCTCCATCACCATTACTACCAACTCACCTGAAGCCCTCACCTGCCAACTGCTAGACTGTTGAAACCGCCACCCAACTGAGTTCCCTCTTCCTACTCTTCCCTATTCCAGTCTACCCTGCAAACCACAGTCAGAATAACTTTCAGAGATCAAATCAACCATGTCACTCTCCTTCCTTAGGGTTGTCAGCGGTTTGTCACTTAACGAATGGATGAGGTTTACATTCCTAGACATGGCATTTAAATATCTCAGAGTACCTTTAATACTATCTATACCATATCTCAGAGTACCTTTAATACTATCTATACCATATCTCAGAGTACCTTTAATACTATCTATACCATTTTCTTTCAAAAAACAATAACCTCTTCACTTATTTACCGATCCCGTTCAAACCTAGGCGTATGATGCGTCCCTAGGCAGGAAGGCACTTGACCTCCCTCTCTCTGCCCACATCTGCCCAAGCCCTCTCTCCTCCAGCAGACCTTCCCCAGCTGCTGCAGGGACTCTGCCTTCCAAGCTTCTACTCCTCATTCTGTTACATAGTTATATTCTAACTTCCGCAACTTAACTGCTTCGTGCAAGGATAGATTACTAGTTTATCATTTTAACTAAGAAAGCAGGCTTCTGGGGAGCAAAACTCACGTCTTACTTGACTTCTCTATAATCCTGAACACCTAGCCCAGCAGGCACACAGTCGATTCTCAAGAAATACTGTTGAATGAACTTGATATAGATAAAACTGATAGTTTTTGTTTTTTGTTTTTTTTAATTATAAAATGTTTCAAATACTATATAGCAAACTCTAAGGGAGTAAAAACAAATACCATAATTTTTTAAATGGTACTGTCTTGTCATGTTGACTTCCAATTTTTTTAAGGAAAGAAAGCTTTGCAGATGCTACCGAGGTCACTCCCTGATCCCATTTTCTCTCTCTGACCCCATTTCCCATCCTCTTGCCCTAGAAGTATGCCTTTAGATGTGTCCTTACCATCAGCGTTTTAATACTTTAACCACTCAAATATGTGGCTATAGATGTACTTTTTGTGTTTTTGAAATTTATATAAATGTTTATACCATATTTATTCATCTACGAATAGCTCTTTTCAACTCATTATTAGATTTTTGGGAGCTATTCTCACTGATAATTCGAGATCTGGCTTAGCCGTCTTATTGTTCCACAGTGTTCCATTGTGTGACTGGACCACAATGTATTTATCTAGTCCCATATTCATAAACATTTAACTTTTTTCTGATTGTTTGCTGTCATAGGCAATCGTGTGGTGAAAATCCTTGAGAATGTGAGGCAGCCTACTTCCAAAGAAAACTAAATGCGTACAGAAGGTCCTCAGTTCCTCAGTGATGATTCCCATGTGTTCTATAATTCTTAAACTTCCAAATAGTCTAATCAAGCCCAGTCTGATTCTTACTATTCTGTAGCTGACACAGCATAATGACCGGGACTCAGTCTCCCAGCCTCAGGAGAGCTCCCTGTTCTTGAAGTCCACCAACCTCTAAATATCATTAGTTACTATGTCTCACTCAATATACCACAGCCAATATCCACCAGCAATGTAAAAATGAGGACACTGTGTCTAGGTAAACATGTCTAGACCCGGCCTAAAGCTTTTTAATATCTGATCAACTGTTTTGAATAAATATTTATCAAAGTCAGTAATGCCAGGCACTGTTGTTGGCACCGAGGATGAAATGGTGAACAGAGCCTGACCCCATGGAACACTCTGATGGGAAAGATGGGGAGGGGGATGAACAAGTAAGTGAACACAAAACATCTCAGGTAGTGATAAGTGCTATAATAAAAATGTAAATGGTGATATGTAGAATATTATTAGACAGGTAATCATAAATATCCTCCCACAAAAAACAAATGGTAATTGTGGGACATGTTGAAGGTGTTTGATAACACAAGGGGGTAATCCTTTTGCAATACATGAGTATCATATCAACACGTTGTACACCTTAAGCTCTTAAACTTACACAATGCTATATATCAATTCTATGTCAATGAAGCTAGAATAATAAATTAGTTAATTAATTTTTGTAAAAAATAAATTAACTGCCCTGGCTGGTTTGGCTCAGCGGTTAGAGCGTCGGCCTGCGGTCCAGAGAGATCCGGGTTCGGTTCCTGCTAAGGGCGCGTACCTCGGTTGCAGTTTGTCCCCGGCCCTGGTTGGGTCGTGTGGGTGGCAACCACTTGATGTGTCCCTTTCACGTCGATGTTTCTCTCTCTCTCTCTCGTCCTCTATATAGCAAAAAACAATAACCTCTTCACTTATTTACCGATCCCTTTCAAACCTAGGCATATGATGCTTCCCTAGGCAGGAAGGCACTTGACCTCCCTCTCTCTCTCTCCCTCCCACTCTATCTGAACAAAAAATGGAAAAATGTCCTCGGGTGAGGATAAAAAAAATAAAGTAAAATAATTAATTAATTAACTGCCTGGCCAGTGTGTCTCAGTGGTTGAGCATTGACTCATTCACCAAGAGGTTGCTGGTTCAATACCCAGTCAGGGCACATGCCCAGGTTGTAAGTCCGGTCCCCATTGGGGAGCATGCAGGAGGCAGCCAATTGATGTTCTCTCTCATCGATGTTTCTATCTCTCACTCTCCTTTCTGTTCTCTAAAATCAATAAAGAAAAAAATATTTTATTTTTTATTTTATTTCTTTATTCTTTATCCTCACCCAAGGACATTATTTTTTTAAATTTATCTTCTGATAGAGCAGGAGGGAGAGAGGAAGGAAGAGAGAAAGAGAAACATTGACGTGAGAGAGACACATCTACTGGCTGTCACCCACAGGACCCCAACCGGGGCCTGGGACAAACTGCAGCCGAGGTTCGAGCCCTTAGCAGAAACCGAACCCGGGACTCTCTGGTCTACTGGCTTACGCTCCAACCACTGAGCCAAACTGGCCAAGGCAAGAAAAAGTATTTTAAAAATAAAATAAAAGAGCCCTGGCCGGTGCTCAGTGGTTAGAGCATCAACTTGCGGTACAGAGAGACCCGGGTTCGGTTCCCGCTAAGGGCATGTACCTCGGTTGCAGTTTGTCACCGACCCTGGTTGGTCGTGCGGGTGGCAGCCACTCGATGTGTCCCTTTCACGTCGATGTTTCTCTCTCTCTCTCTCTCTCTCTCTCTCTCTCTCTCTCTCTCTCTCCCTCCCACTCTATCTGAACAAAAAAATGGAAAAATGTCCTCGGGTTAAGATTAAAAAAATAATAATAATAAATAAAATAAAATACATTAACTTTTTTTTTTATCTTCACCCAAGGACATTTTTGCGTGTATCTTCAGATAGAGTGGAAAGGAGAGAAGAAGGAAGAGAGAGAGAGAAACATCTACATGAGAGACACATCGAGTGGCTGCCACCCGCACGACCCCCACCAGGCCGGGGACAAACTGCAACCGAGGTACGTGCCCTCAGCGGGAACCGAACCCAGGTCTCTCTGGACCACAGGCCAGCGCTCTAACCGCTGAGCCAACCCGGCCAGGGGCTGAATTAACTTTCTGAAGAAAGGGGGGGCGTGGCTATTCTAGGACACGGTGCGCAGTAGGACTTTCCGCGCTGACAGACGGTGCTGCACCCTCCAGCAGGGCAGCCGCCAGCCACGCTTGCGATGTGGCTAGTCCCACTGAGGAGCTACTTTTTAAATTTTATTTAATGCTAATTTGTATAAACTTAAATGTAAATAGCCCATGTGGCCGCTGTGCTGGACAGGATAACCTGCCCAAGGTCATAATACTCCTAAGTAGCTGAGATGAATTTGAACCCAGCAAGTCTGGCACCAGAGTTATATTCAGGACCACTATGTCATCCTGCCTCTGTTCACTGAAAGGAGAGATTCTTAGGGGTTACACTTCTTCGTATGATAATAAAGCCCGTTTTCAGGCTGATGGGAATTAGTTCGTGGAAAGTAAAAACTTACGAAGAAGAGAGACGATGCAAAAGGAGACACCTTGAAAACACGAGGGAATGAGATCAAGAACCCAGGAAGGAGCCGGCCTGCGCTAGGGCAGAGACTGGGAGGTGGGAGGTTTGGAGATGGGGTAATAAGGGTGCTCCTGCACCTCGCTCTGACCTTTGCAGTGAAGTATGCGGTGGAATTATCAGCTGAGCCCTGGCCGGTTTGGCTCAGCAGTCGGCTGTGGCCCTGGCCGGCTCGTGCGGGAGGCAGCCAGGCGATGTGTCCCTTTCACGTTGATGTTCCTTTCTCTCCCTCCCTCCCACTCTGAATAAAAGTGGCAGAATGTCCTCGGGTGAGGATAAAAAGAAAAAGATTATCAGCTGAGAGTGAGAAGGGGAGAGAGAGGAGTTGAGGCTGGAGAAGAGGGGATAAGCACACTAGAGGTAATTTTGGAGAACCAAGTGTAGTAGAATGTTAGACGGTTTTGAGTGCCTATTTGAGATTTGTGGCTATGACTTTTTAAATGAAACCACTCCATATAGTTATTTGTTTTTCTCTAGCAATTTTAGCGGATTGGGTACAGGCAGAGAGCAAGCAATTA